AATATTAACAGGTATCCTGCATCAATCTATATACACCAGATCCTATCTAATCCATGGTATAGAAATTCAGTTCTAAACCTAAAAATAGCTTTTATTAGCAAGAGTATTATTAAAATTTCTTCTTATATTAAACTTACCAAACTAAAGCCAGCTGAAAACTATAATTTCTAATCTTTTTTCGTTCAATACATGATCATATTCTTTTAATAGATGATTGATACTATCTTGCATTGTTACTATTAACTTCACTTTATCTAAGAATCATTTTTTGCGATAAGCTATGAGAATTCCAAGTTGTTCTAGCTCACTTGAAACCTCTCCAAAAAGAGCCTCAAATTAATTTAGTATTTTTAGTAATGTTACTTTCATATCAACCTTTCTACCTATTCATGCTTTTTTAAATAAATCCAATTTTTTATTATGGGTATCACTACTTAAAAGAATATGAATCTCCTCTCTATATTCATAAGAACTGTTAATATCAATTATTCAATACTATAAATAAAAAAAAACGAATTACCAGGAATGCTTTATATGATTCGATGTGAATGTTCCATGAAACAACAGATATGATAATATTATTTTCAAGTGTTCTTCTGTTAATATTTTCTAGAAAAAATATATATTATTTTTTTTATAATATAATACAAAGTCAGAACGCAAGCAATGTCAGATAATCAACTATATAATTCATAATTAATGCATACAAAAATTGTATATTTGAATCAAAATATTTTAGATCTTTATTTTCATTACTATTGTTAAGTTCTATGTAACTGCTATCGAAGTAATCCTGAATACTTTTTGAGGCTAATTCGTATTTCTATTTGATATAATCAGCGAAATTTTGAGATAATTGCTATAAATCATTTTTTTGTAATTTCTTTGCATCCATATAGACTTTCTCTAGTCAGATCAAGCACTCCCTAATATGCAAGGCTATGAGATAATAAAATAAAATAAATATTAATAATCAGATCATGATTGTAAAAAGGACATTATATATACGTGTATACTCTACAGATTTTAGGAATTTTATTTTGATATTTTTGAAATTTATTTAATATTTCATCACATATAGATATAGATTGATCCTATTGTGAATAGATAATATGCTTATTAAATATTCTGTATATTTACAAACAGAAACATTAAAATCTTACCTTATTATCATTTGCTAGTAACAATTTTCTTTCCTCCTTAAGAGTATTTTCATCAATTTTTTCTATAATCTTATCTTCATTTGAATCATTAAATAGAAATACTAATCTATCATAGTCTGGTAATTTATCATTTACTAGTTTCCTTTTAAGATTATTTTTGTGTGTTGTAGTTTCTTCTGTAGATTCATCATCACTGTTCACTTGATTAAAGTCCTTCCAAAGAAATATAAAAGTATGATAATTAAATTGATTATTTGACTTACTGATTATATTGACACTTAGTCATACTGGTATTGAATCAAAGTTTTGTGAAATATAAACATATAGTTTTTCTTCCTCAACCTCCTTGCCTTCTTCAACCTCTTCATCTTTTTTTATCCCTTCTCCTGTTAAACTAGTTAAGAATTCATTTGCCTGTTTCATATAACCTTGTGTCATTTTGCTTTTCATCACAGACCTACTTAAAATGGTTACAAGTAAGTGAGCTTAGAAATTCTGCTCATAAGTAACATGCAAATTCTCAAACTCCTTAGACTCGCTGAATTCAATTAGCTCTTCTACAAAGTTCATAATTGATTTTGAGATATTATTTGTTTTTTAATAAATTTCAGACTTGCAATCTACTTATTATAAATTTTATTAAATATCTTTGGCATGTCTTCAGATTGAATAGTAAAAGAGTAAAAATGATTAAATGACCAATGTCTAGCCTCTGAATTTGCGAAAAACTATATTTCTTACGTTTAAAATGATAAGTTCTATAGTTGGGATCAACTATTAGGTCTGGCATATTCAAAAATAAAATATAATAATATGCATCAAAATTATGTAGTTTGTAATGAGTGATACAACTATGTATAGAGTAGGATTATCCCACAGATAGAACAACTACTGTTATACCAATCATTGACTCTAAGCTATAACATATGATTGTATGCAATATTAAAAATTTTTTACTCTTTGTAACACTATAGCATTACATTGTACCTCTAATCTGTTAATCATAATTGCTACGTAATATCTTCTGGATCTATTGGATCTATGTATCTGTTAAAGGGTTCAAAGTAGTTAATTAACAGTAGGTTTTGACAGCTCAGCAGAGGAGAATGTCTTTCTACACCTGTTTATTGCAATTTCTATATAACATCTCCTGGGTCTGTTGGATCTATGTATCTGTTAAAGGATTCAGAGTAGTCAATTAGTGGTGAGCTTGCAGGTCTTACATAAGAACGTTCTAGGCAATGGACTTACAAGAAACCTTATTAATAAAGAAGCCAAATTGCAGATGGAACATCATTTTTTGAAATCATAATTTGGGTATCTTTTATTAATCTTGCTTTGTTATTTAATTACTTTGTTATTTAATTACTTTATAAGTTTTAACAGAGTTTTTGAAGAGGAATATGACATTAAACCATGTCTGCTAGAATTCTAGATAACAGTTTCTATATTACTAAAAGATTATTTTTATTTTGGCAACCTCGAACACATATGAATATTTTGGTTAGGCTATAGTTGTTAGGTAAAACTATTTTGTGAAAATGATGAAAGATGAAACCTAGACCCAAAAAAAGATGAAAGACAACGAAACTCTGATAAAAAACAAAACCTCTAACAAAA